GGTCACAAATATGTTGATATATCTATGAATATATATTTTCATACTCATATACCTGCAATGGAAAGTGCCTGCAAACCATACCACAGGTTGTCCCAAGCCTTGGAAGTGAAATTGGGTTGATGGAATTATTTGGAAGTCGTTGATGGTTGTGCTAGCACAAAATCACAAGTCATCATGACCGAGCATTTGAGCATACTGGCCTTGTTCAGACTGATGGTTGTACTAGCATGAATTCACATGTCATTGTGACCGAGGGTTTGAACGTACTGTTCTTGTTCTGACTAATCGTTGTGCTAGCATGAAGTCACAAGTCATCATGACTGAGGGTTTGAGTGTACTGGCCTTGTTCAGACTATTTAACATGACAGGTAATGCACTCTCTCCCAAAACTTTTAATTAAGGTCCACTCAGCATATTTGCAGTATAAACCAGAGGTGGGCTCTGTGGGTGTTGAACAAGCACAAATGTGCCTGAGCAGGCGCTTGCAAAAGGGATTGGCTATCCACCCTAGTAAACAGGCATACTCAGATACAACCAACCAGGCACTACCACACATGCTACACATGCCCCTCAAATAATACCCACAGTATGTCCAGTACAAAAACACACATCTCTACAAACATCTTACCTTTACTTTAATATCCACAAGATTTTCAACTGCTGTGGTCAGAGATTGAACCAGGTTAACCTTATAAGAAAAAATATTTAGAACAGTTTATATGATTGATTGATTTATATTTTTATGGCTTATCAACCCTTTGCAGGTTATTTAAAGTCAGAAAATTTTTTTTTGAGATAATCATGATTTAATGATACAATCTTACTAATTAACCCATAGCAGGGAGGAGAAGATGTGGATTCATACTTAATCAGAATTTGATAAACAAACAACAAATTATAATGTGGATATAAAGTGGGGGAACAATTGTATATCACAATTAATATATAATCTGATTCCTCACCTTTTGGCCATTGTAGATTTTATACATTTTATATATATAAATTTAAAAGATAAGACTTTGTAGCTAATCCGTATTTGATTGATTCGTTTTCTACAGCTTATCAACCCTTTGCAGGTTATTTAAAGCCATAAAATATTTTTAGATTGTAAGAATGTTTTTTGAGACAATGATTTACTGATACAAGTTCTACTAATTAACCCATAGCTGGAGGGACAGGAGGTGGGCTCATACATTTACTAAAGATACTTGGACATAAGTGAATACAACAAACTCAACTAGAGTTGAAACCCAGCACTCTGATTTTTACTTCTGAGCAGTTACTGTTTATACCACCTGCACATCTAGCTCACAGCATCTGGTATTCCCAAGCAGTCACCCATTTAGGTACTGATCAGGCTTGACATTGCTTAACTTCAGTGATCATACAACACTGTAAATCAACAGAGTTTACAGTTTTAGTAACTGCCATGTAAAGTAGAGGGATCAATTTTGCTCATAATCAAGTACTGAACTGATCCCCCTTTTTATGTAAAAATTTAGTGATTTTACAAATAAATCAAATGTATCTGTCTATATTTCTGAGATGAGTTATTATGTACATTATTTACATTATTCGGACTATTGTCCTCATCTTTGTCGCCATACTTATTACAACATTTTGGCCGTTGTACGCTCCAGCCTTCTTCAGGTGGTTGGAATGTCGAACTGAACCTTTTATTTTGCTCACTGGAGTAGACTGTTCTAGTTCCACATGCCATGTTTAATGGATGTCAGTTGTCAGTTATCTTCTGTTAATTCCCCTCTCCAGGTTCACTGCCTTAACTGGGTATTGAACTCACACTCTTTGGGTCCTGTCACTGGATCTAACCAATGCCTTTATCCACTGTGCCATGTGTCCTTGAGGAACAGTCTACTCCAGTGAGCGAAATAAAGGGTTGAGTTTGACATTCCAACCACCTGAAGAAGGCCGGAGCGTACAACAGCCGAAACGTAATAAGTATGGAAACAAAGATGAGGACAATAGTCCGAATAATGTAAATAGTGTAAATTGAATGTATGTTTACATATCTGACAGGCATGAAAATATTACTCAAAATAGTTACTTAATTATATGAATATCTGGGGGTACTTTTATTTATTTGATGGTGTAGACCAGTCATGTACAAAGTCTGACCCAGGAGCCAATTACAGCTCGTCGTCAAATTTCATATGGCCGCCATTCTCTGTCATAGAATGTATCATTTACAGCCCGCCACTATTGTCTATCAGTGTATGTAAAGTACACACCTAAGAAATGCAACTTCATGTTTTACCAGAAGATGGTAGCAGCACTGTGTGGCGACCCTCCTCTAGCAGTGTGAAATTTCTAAAATCACTGTCTTTGAACTAGACCACTGTTTTTGAATGAAACCTGGTCTACATACTTCAGTTCAGATCTCAGTATCACCAAATTTGAAGGGTGACATTTTCAGTGTCACCCTTCACATTTGGAGAAACAGTAACATTTCAAGTTGGAGCAAAAAGAATAAAAAATATCTCTTTTTTTCTCTGTGGTGAAAACATTCCAGTGAGTGAATAAACATAACATGAAATTAAAAAACTTAAAATTATAAATCCAAGATGAAAGACATACTTACATTATGTTTATCAATTTGGTGAGAACTCCAGCATGATGATTGGTCACCTGAATTTTCTTCTCCAATCCAGAGTTCTGTAATGTAATGAAAGAAATATAAGAAAAAATAAAAATAAAAACAAGTTGAGATATCCCTCGACATGGGCAATGGAATAAGAACAATTGCTTCCTGTAGATTAAATAAAGGGTTCAGTTCAAATATTCCCTGAAGGTTACAAGGATCAATAAACACATAATGAAGGCTGAAAAGAATAATGGCTGAAAGATAGGGACAATATAAGTAGGTTCACTGGATTGATAAACACCTAATGAAGGCTGAAAAGAATAATGGCTGAAAGATAGGGACAATATAAGTAGGTTCACTGGATTGATAAACACCTAATGAAGACAGAAAAAATAATGGCTGTGTTGTGATGTCTTCCCTCTAATGAGGCTATTGTGGACTCTTCCACTTACTATAAAATTAGTAGGAAAATTAATCCTTGAGGGAACAGTGATATAGACTGAACGCTAGTCAACCGACACACACTCCCAGGTCATGTAACAGTCTTCTGTTATATTTACTGTTCAATACACTATTTCTCTGCAACCTCTTGTTTTATTATTTCTGAACCATTACGTGGTCACAACAGGCTGAAAGATAATGACAATATAAGTAGGTTAATGAGATCAATACTCACCTAATAAAGGCTAAAAAGAACAATAGCTGAATGATAAGGACAATATAAGTAGATTAACTGGATTGATAAACATCTAATGAAGGCTGAAAATAACAATGGTTGAAAGATAGGGACAATATAAGTAGGTCAACTGGATTGATAAACATCTAATGAAGGCTGAAAAGAACAATGGCTGAAAGATAAGGACAATATAAGTAGATTAACTGGATTGATAAACATCTAATGAAGGCTGAAAAGAACAATGGCTGAAAGATAAGGACAATATAAGTAGGTTGACAAAACACCTGACCAAAGCTGGAAATGGTGTGATAACAACACAGATGAGGATAATAGTTCACATGTAAATAATGCTAACTTCTTATCCTAGCAATTCAGTTCAAAATACTTTGCAGGTTTGGATCAACAAGCACCTGATGATGGTTGGAAAGCACAACGGTCAAAACATTATGATAACAACAACAAAGACAGGGACAATAGTCTGCATATAAATAATATAAATGGACAACTTCTCATCTGAAAAATTCAGTTTGAAATTCTCTATAGGTAACCAGGATTGACAAGCACTTGATGAAGGCTGGAATGCATAACAGCCGAAAAATGTTGTGATAACAACATGAGATGAGGACAATAGTTTGCATGCAAATAATATAAATGACAATAACTCCTCATTCCAGAAATTCAGTTAAAAATTTCCCATAGGTTATCCAGATTGGCAAACATCTGATGAAGGCCAGAAGACACAATGGCTGAAAAGTTGTGATAACAACAACAAAGATGAGGACAATAGTCTGAATGTAAACTAATGTAAATAATAAAAACATAAGAGATATAAAAAAAACTAGCAAAATCATTTCGTAATTTATATTGGTTCTTTTGTTTGCATTTAGATATTTTTTAAACTTTTCACCCCCAAGCAGGGCAATAAAGCTACTAAGACTCAAGGGGGTTACTAAGTATGAGAAAAAGAAAAAAACATTGTTAAGAAGTGATAAAAATATGAGAACAGGAAATAAGAAGAATGAAAATAACAATTAAAATTGCATTTTAAATTTTGAAGATCAAAAGTTGTAATCACAATTAATTTCACATCTTATAAAATAATTTCAACAAAAGATTGGTAATGCCTTAAAAAAATGTTACACTTACCAATTAAAAAATGAAGAGTATTTCTGATCATTTCCACATCTTGAAAAATTGTTTCAACAAAGATCGCTACTGCCTTTAAAAAAAAATGAGTTATTTTATATTTGTAATGTCTGATAAAGAACACAAGACAACATTTTTCATAAATAAAATAATAGCTTATTCTCTTCTGGACTCTCAGTCAAATTGAGTTTTTGTGGTTTCAGAACACTTTTTTTCTTTTTGTTGAACATTCAACTTTCTTCCAAGGATATGAGGTATTCTCCCTCTTACCTTGTAACCTACCATACAGTTATTTAGCAACATTCTGATCTGATATTTAATCTTTATAACTTTCATTAATTTGTTTTTTTATGGATTAACAGCCTTTTGGAGGTTTTTGAAATCACAAAAGAGTTTTAGATTGATAGAATGTTTTTGAGATAATGATTTTACTGACACAAGCCTTACTAATTAACCCATAGCTGGAGGAGAAGTGGTGGATTCATATCTTATGTGACTATAACAGACCCGACTGGAATTGAAATTTGGATCTCTGATTTCCAATTTGTTATCCATTACACCACCCACACATATAAGATTACAACAACTGGTATTCCCAAGTAGTCACCCATCTTGGTGCTGACCAGGCTCAACATTACTTAACTTTAGTGATCGCACAAGAACTGGTGTTTAAATGTGATATGGCCATAAACTCTTTTGACTTTATATTTTTGATCTATGTGATTAAAATTACTGAATTAAGAGCATTAATATGGAAGGAGATTATGTTGAAAAATAAACATTTAGTGTGTAAGAGAAATTCTTAATAAACAGAATATTAGCAGCAGCCCTTAATAAACAGAGTATCAGCAGCAGCCCCTAATAAACAGAGTATTAGCAGCAGCCCTTAATAAACAGAGTATCAGCAGCAGTCCCTAATAAACAGAGTATTAGCAGCAGCCCTTAATAAACTGAGTATCAGCAGCAGCCCCTAAAAAACAGAGTATTAGCAGCAGCCCCTAATAAACTGAGTATCAGCAGCAGCCCTTAATAAACTGAGTATCAGCAGCAGCCCCTAATAAACAGAGTATTAGCAGCAGCCCCTAATAAACAGAGTATCAGCAGCAGCCCTTAATAAACAGAGTATTAGCAGCAGCCCTTAATAAACTGAGTATCAGCAGCAGCCCTTAATAAACAGAGTATTAGCAGCAGCCCTTAATAAACAGAGTATCAGCAGCAGCCCCTAATAAACAGAGTATTAGCAGCAGCCCTTAATAAACTGAGTATCAGCAGCAGCCCCTAATAAACAGAGTATTAGCAGCAGCCCTTAATAAACAGAGTATCAGCAGCAGCCCTTAATAAACAGAGTATTAGCAGCCCTTAATAAACTGAGTATCAGCAGCAGCCCCTAATAAAACAGAGTATTAGCAGCCCCTAATAAACTGAGTATCAGCAGCAGCCCCTAATAAACAGAGTTTCAGCAGCAGCCCCTAATAAACAGAGTATTAGCAGCAGCCCCTAATAAACAGAGTATTAGCAGCAGCCCTTAATAAACAGAGTATCAGCAGCAGCCCCTAATAAACAGAGTATTAGCAGCAGCCCCTACTAAACAGAGTATCAGCAGCAGCCCTTAATAAACAGAGTATTAGCAGCAGCCCTTAATAAACAGAGTATCAGCAGCAGCCACTAATAAACAGAGTAATAGCAGCAGCCCTTAATAAACTGAGTATCAGCAGCAGCCCTTAATAAACAGAGTATTAGCAGCAGCCGCTAATAAACTGAGTATTAGCAGCAGCCCTAATAGATAAAGCAGCCCTTAATAAACTGAGTATCAGCAGCCCTTAATAAACAGAGTATTAGCAGCAGCCCTTAATAAACTGAGTATCAGCAGCAGCCCCTAATAAACAGAGTATCAGCAGCAGCCCCTAATAAACAGAGTATCAGCAGCAGCCCTTAATAAACAGAGTATTAGCAGCAGCCCTTAATAAACAGAGTATTAGCAGCAGCCCCTAATAAACAGAGTATTAGCAGCAGCCCTTAATAAACTGAGTATCAGCAGCAGCCCTTAATAAACAGAGTATTAGCAGCAGCCGCTAATAAACTGAGTATTAGCAGCAGCTCCTAATAGAGTATTAGCAGCAGCCCTTAATAAACTGAGTATCAGCAGCAGCCCCTAAAAAACAGAGTATTTGAAGCAGCCCCTAATATACAGAGTATTAGCAGCAGCCCTTAATAAACTGAGTATCAGCAGCAGCCCCTAATAAACAGAGTATTTGCAGCAGCCCCTAATATACAGAGTATTAGCAGCAGCTCTTAATAAACTGAGTATCAGCAGCAGCACCTAATAAACAGAGTATTAGCAGCAGCCCCTAATAAACTGAATATCAGCAGCAGTCCTTAATAAACAGAGTATCAGCAGCAGCCCCTAATAAACAGAGTATTAGCAACAGCCCCCTAATAAACAGAGTATCAGCAGCAGCCCTTAATAAACAGAGTATTAGCAGCAGCCCTTAATAAACTGAGTATCAGCAGCAGCCCTTAATAAACAGAGTATTAGCAGCAGCCCTTAATAAACTGAGTATCAGCAGCAGCCCTTAATAAACAGAGTATTAGCAGCAGCCCCTAATAAACAGAGTATTAGCAGCAGCCCTTAATAAACAGAGTATTAGCAGCAGCCCTTAATAACCTGAGTATCAGCAGCAGCCCTTAATAAACTGAGTATCAGCAACAGCCCCTAATAAACAGAGTATTAGCAGCCCCTAATAAACAGAGTATCAGCAGCAGCCCTTAATAAACAGAGTATTAGCAGCAGCCCTTAATAAACTGAGTATCAGCAGCAGCCCTTAATAAACAGAGTATTAGCAGCAGCCCTTAATAAACTGAGTATCAGCAACAGCCCCTAATAAACAGAGTATTAGCAGCCCCTAATAAACAGAGTATCAGCAGCAGCCCTTAATAAACAGAGTATTAGCAGCAGCCCTTAATAAACTGAGTATCAGCAGCAGCCCTTAATAAACAGAGTATTAGCAGCAGCCCTTAATAAACTGAGTATCAGCAACAGCCCCTAATAAACAGAGTATTAGCAGCCCTAATAAACAGAGTATCAGCAGCAGCCCTTAATAAACAGAGTATTAGCAGCAGCCCTTAATAAACTGAGTATCAGCAGCAGCCCTTAATAAACAGAGTATTAGCAGCAGCCCTTAATAAACTGAGTATCAGCAGCAGCCCCTAATAAACAGAGTATTAGCAGCAGCCCTTAATAAACTGAGTATCAGCAGCAGCCCCTAATAAACTCTCTTTTCCAATTTTCCTCCTTTCAAAGTGTGTGACATTAATTTTTTGCGCTGAAGCAAAAAGGGATGTGGACACTTCTCACATACACCTACACAGGCAAGTTTCACTCAAATACATTCATTAACAATTTTCATTGTGTATACAATTTACTTATAGTAAAAGAAACACTTGAACTTATCTTTTTGTTGTTTTGTTAAATAAAGTTTATCTTGCATTGCAATTCAATTTGCCTGTTATTTTGTGCATGTACCTTTTCACCAGCATTATTTCATGTATTGTAAAATATTCTCTTAAGAAACCTTATACATTAATTATATAAGTAGCGAACACACTAAAATTTAATTCTCTCTTATGATGCATATATATATATATATATATATATATATATAGTGGCCTGATGATTGCATCTAGCATGAAACAAACTGTTGCCTCTGAGTTTTGACTTCAATGTTCACTTTTATATTTACATATGCTCTATCTCTGATATTGAGCAATTTATCCCATAAATATAGCACACTTTAAAACTATATTTCTTCATACATATGTTTTGAACAATAAAAAAATTAAAAAATTAAAATTTTTAGACACACTGTGTTGTATATTAATATTTTTTCATTTTATTATTTCAATTAGATTTCTTGACTAGTTTTGGCCAAAAAGGATGTTCCAATAACTTGGACTGATTTTAAATGTGAATAAGTTTAAAATCAGTCCAAGTTATTGGAACACCCTTTATACACACACACACACACACATATATATATATATATCATCAAAAATATTAAAAGTTCACAATACTTATCAAAGTTTAACTTGCTAGGCAAGTTTATATAACTTAATCAGTTATATTTTAACATTATTTTCATTTATAATCATATATATGTTGCTTTCTGGGGGGTCATCAGGGGGACTAGTATGTCAAACAAGGGTCTTTGTGTGTTAGTCTGGAGCATGTGATAAGAGTTCAGATCTCCTTGAAGACATCATTTTTTTTATTTTTGTGCTGCTTCCTTGGTAACAGTTGCTAGGTAGTGCAATAAATGGCAAAAAGTCATAAAATAAAGGAAACAAGTAAAAAATTAATGAAGAATATAGACTAAAATAAAATTATTTTCAAATATGTTACCTTTTTCTTCTTAGGTCCAATGATAAGGTGTTGCTGGAATACCTGAAGAGAGTCTGGTTCTGGATAGAAAGTGGATTGAAATATTCCAGGACCACCAAGAGATACCATTACTTGATTCTGGAAAACATAAATACAAAGACAGATTTAGAAGTCCACAGCTGCATTTTGATCTAAAATTTTCACCACATAATGTTTGCAATAAATGATTAATATTCACAACTAAATTAAGTTCATTGACAACGAAATAGGTAATATTAAGCTGGTTAATTTAATGACAAATCAACCCTTGTTGGGATATTTCATGTCGAATCTAAGTGGTCAGTTTATATTGAATCACTTGCTAAGTTTGATGCTTGGAAAGTGTGTTCAATGTGTTGTGCTAAATCATTTTTCTTGCTGGTACTTGTCTTGCACATTTATAAGTCTACCATTATTCTGTGCACCAAATATTTTCATTATAATTGTTCTGATGAGCTTTCAGTGTTGTTACCTTAATTTCATGAATTTAAGTGCAGTACTAGATTGGCAGCTAGGTCTCATAATTTCACTGTTGAAATTACTAGTTGTAATCATAAGTTTTATACTAACTAGCAACATGGCCTGCCGTTGCCCATGCTTAATCAAAAATCATACGACTCATACAGTAATCGCTATCACTTGACTTAAAATATTTTTGCCCTTCCTTGCCTTTAAAGGAGTGCCCTTTGCCGTGCTGATGTTGCTACATGCCTTACTTCTTGCCTATGTCACACTGCGAATTTTTTCAAAGCTCTATACTAAACATTAAATCTGTTATGAAAAAAGAACTAAACAAAATGAACACAAAACGATCAGCTTTAAAAAAGGACTCATAACTGGAAAAACCGAATGAAAAAAGAATGTTAACAACAAATACTTTTTCACACCCAACCCAGTTCTGCGGAATCAGAATCAACATTGAATTTAAGCAAGCGAATGAGCCAATTGGAGTAAAGTGCCATGCAGATTTAAATTTTTCCCACTTGTGACGAATGCAGCTATTGATTTAGTTAACATTCGTGTCAGTCAGCTGTTGGCTCTCACGCTGGCCAATAGAATCTTCCTACCTATTCGTGGCAGCCAGCCTCTGGCCAGTAGAAAATGGCCACAAACTACATGAAAACTGCTGTAGAAGCATGAAAAAATCGATTATTTCCACTATCGATGGGAGTTGGGAAATGCAAAGTCAGTCTTGGCCTTTCCGCTAACTTGGAGCATGTGCATGTAAATTTTGGTGCAAATCCGTTGAAAATTGTGGACGTGCATTCGTTA